CCTGATCCCTGATCGCCCTGGACCCTCCCAGAGTCTCTCCAGGGCCACTTCCCCCTGCTCTCAGGGCAGAGGGCTGAGCGGGGGCTCGGAAGCCTTCCTGGAGGCCCCGGGAGGCTTTCTCCTCTGGTCGAAGAAGGGCTGATTGCAGGGCCTGGGGTTCGGCCCCAGCTGTCGCGGGGGCGGGTACCCGGGAGATCTGGACCCACACAGCACATTTTCACGTCCCAGCTTTGGGCATATGCTTTCGGCTGCAGGTCTGGAAGTTGTGCTGAGGCCACTCTGCGTGCCAGGCCCTTGCAAAGGGCAGGAGTGAGAAGCTGAATAAACCGCGTCAGGTCTCGGGCGTTAGGGGATGCGCACAGGCAAGGATCAGGTCCTGGTCACTGTCTGTCCTGGTCACTGGGGTCAGGCGGCTGGGCACGCGGTGGCCTCGGGCGGGAGTTCCGAGTCCGTGGGTCTGCCCACCGAGGTCGGTGGGCCTCTGGAAGGGCACACCAGTGCCCCGTGTCGGGGGTCTGAGGGCTCCCTGGGTCCCGCGCTCCACCCGCCCGCATGGCCAGGGCTTCCCCACCTACACTTAGCCCTGGAGGCTGGGGACCTGCGGTCCCTAACAAGCAAGAGCCAGGGTTGCTGTGTTGATTTGTCTCCAGGCAGCGGCAGAGACGGCGAGGAGAGAGGGCCAAGGGCCAGACAGAAGCTTCCCTCTCTCAGCCAGACACGCAGAGACCACCCTCTGGGGAAATACATGGCGGACCCCACCGTCCTGGCGAGGCTTGGAGTGGGGGTTGGGCCGGGCCGGGGCCCTCCTCCCCCCTCCCTTCTCTCCTTCCCTCTGTCCTTGGACACCTGCCTCAGTGTGACCTTGGGCCGGTTACAGGCAGCATTAGCGACTTCAGAGACCCAGGTTGCACCCACAGGCCTGTTTCCTCTTTCCCTCTGTTTCTCTCCCTGTCTCCTTCCTCCTGGTCCCCCAGCAGGTGCCCCGGCACCCCTACCCCAAGCACTGGCTGGGTCTGAGCTCGGAGCTCCCCAGAGTCCACCACAGGCCGACTTCAGGCCGACTTCACAGAGGGAGGAAACCCCCTCAGTGACCACCCACACTAACCTCCGGGGCCGGACCAGCAGAGAAAGGAGAGGCCTGGGCAGGAGGGCTGGGCACGGAGATTTGCATGGCAAATCCAGAGGTGTCCCCCAGGGGTCCGCACTAAGTGCTGCTGCACTTCCCCGGGCACCCCCACCCTCCCTGCCCAAGGCTCCCCCCACACCCACACACATCAGCAAACGCAGCTCCGAGACCCTCTCTGCTCCCGCGGCACCCCGCTGTCCGCACCCCACGCCCCCACGCCCCCACCCCACCTCCAGCTCCGTGCGGCAGGGAAGCCCGGCAGAGACGGTCAGAGCCCCATCTGGGTAACCATCGCCGCCCCCCCGCCCCCGGGTCCCAGAGCCCTTACTCCTGCCCACTCACTTCTGGGGTCCATGGCTCCTAAGGACCCCCAGGCCAGGTCAGGTAGCAGGTGGAGAGCACCTTGGCAGTAGCTGTAAGCGCAGCTCAGACCTTGGGCTCAGAGCCAGACCAATCCGGGTAACAAAGTCCGGCTCCTGCCTGGGCCCACCCCCACCTGTCCCTTCAGGGTGGGAGGAACCAGGCCTGGCAGGGGTTGGCCAGCGGAGGGCAGTCCCACGACAAAAACCAAACTTTTCAGCCAGGTCCCGGTGGCCAGCTGTCCCCAGCTCAGGTTGCGGAGGGGCCCAGCTGGCGGTTTCCCCTGAGCTCAGGGCCAAGCCCGCCTGCACTACGGTCTCCAAGCCCTGGGAGCCTTGGTCCCCGCTCACATCTCCAGCCTCCCCCCCCACCCCCCAGCTCTCTGCCTCTCCTCTCCTCACCTGTGTCCCATCGTGGGGCGCTGCTTTGCTCCTGGCGCGTGGCCTACCCAAGCTCCAAGCAGCCCAGCGGGCTCGGACGCTTCCTGGGTCTTCTCATTTTCTCCAGAGGAAAGGTCCCAGAGATTTCTGACACACGGGGATAAAGATGAGTTTCAGTGAAAGCCTCTGAGAGGGTGTCGCCTGGGGTGCAGGGACACCGGGTGTGGGGGCCCCACTCAGGGATTAAACGCGGCCCACTGAACAGCAGGGGAGAGGCAGAGGGCAGCCGGCTCTCTGGCCCCATCCTCCCGCTCAGGCTTTCTGTGCAGGCTCCCCCCTCCGCCACCCCCCCCCCCCACCCCAGGCCCAGGGGGAGGGAGGGAACCAGGCAGGGCAGGGTGGAGACGCCGCACCGCCACTCCCAACCCGATGGGCCCCACAGCTCGGTGCCAGCCACTTCGGATGGGAGAGAAGGCCCTTCCTCAAGTCGTCCCCACGGCATGCCCCAGCCTGCATCCGGCTGAGGGCAGGGGAGCGGAGCTGGGCCCACAGGGGGCCCTTGTCAGAGTCACGCAGCAGCAGGAGAAGCTTAATGAAAAATCAAGTGTCATACCTACCTCACTCCGTACACAAAACTTTTTTTTCATTTACCTTTTTGTTATGTTTATTTTTATTTTATTATGCTCAGAACCAGCACCCTATGTACTTTCTAAATTTTTTTTAATGTTTATTTATTTTTGAGACAGACAGGGACAGAGTATGAACAGAGAAGGGGCAGAGAGAGAGAGAGAGAGAGAGAGAGACAGAATCCGAAGCAGGCTCCAGGCTCTGAGCTGTCAGCAGAGCCCGACGTGGGGCTTGAACCCACAGACTGTGGGATATCATGATCTGAGCCCAAGTCAGACACCCAACCGGCTGAGCCACCTAGGTGCCCCGTAGATTGTATAAAGAACTCTTACCACTCAACGAAAGACATCTGACTTCAGAATGGGCAAGGGACTTGAGGAGACACTTCTGCCCTCCTCAGTGACAGAATTAAGTCCTCGCTGGGGCCGGGCACGAACTCCAGAAATATGTCTCTTGTGGTAGATCTTGCCGTCCCTCTCTCTCCAGCTAGGGGGGAGATGGGGGCTGGCTTGTGGCAGAGGGAGGAACGGGAGGGGGATGGAGCCCACATGTCCCCCAGGGGAGGGGCAGCAGATGCTGCGGGGCAGGGGGAAGAGACCAGGGCCGGCCGCCTGCTCACCTGGAAACACGTGGTGAGCTCCCCAGGCGACCTGTGGCTGGTCAGTGCCTGCAGCGACGACACCAGGGAGTCTGAGGCCGATGGACGTGCCCTGGAAAGCCAAGCTCTCCCAGGGTGATCCCAGCTCGCGTGGCCAGTGGGCACTTGGGGCTGGAGGTAGGGAGGAGCCCGGACTCCTTGGTTCAGGACTGTGGCCCCTCAAAGGGCAGGCTGCGGGATGGAACACGGGGAGTGTCCTGGGTGCCCCTGGGCACGTGGCCTTCCACGGCCTTCTCTCAGCCAGCTTCTGGAGCCCTCTCCATATCCACACTCACCGGAGCTGGTGGGTCTCACTGGTGGCATGGCAGTTAGCCTCACTCTGTCCCGAACCCACCCTGAGCCCGGCTTTCCTAAGCCCTTGCTCTGGTCCCTGTGGTCAGCACCCTCGAGACCCCTGCTGGTCAGGGCACGGCCCTGCCAGGGCCCAGAGGACGTCAGGTCCGGCGGGAACGTCACCCACGACAGCGGCAGGAGGCCCGGGTGACCCCTCCTCTCCTGACTCAGGGGCCAGCCCCCCGCCTCTCGCGGCCTCACCGTCTCCTCTGGCCGCTTCTGGGCTCTCTTGGGGTTCATCTCCAGGGTGGCAAACTTGGAGGTGCCCTTCCGCCAGGGTCACCTTTATGTTGGTTTAGAAGTGGCCCCCAGTCCCTCCACCCCTGCTGCCCTAGGAGCCGGCGCCTTTGCTTTGGGTCCTTGTCGGCCTGAAGGTGCCCTGATGATTTGGGTCTGCACGGCCCCTGAGGTATCCACCAAGCAGGCGCCCCCAGCCTGTCCCCCGGAGCCCCTGGCATCCCCGGCACTGGACAACTCCTGTTACCCAGGGGGCGCCGGGGGCTCAGCCAGTTGAGCATCTGACTTCAGCTCAGGTCATGATCTCGTGGTTTGTGGGCTCGAGTCCCGCACTGGGCTGTGCTGACGGTGCGGAACCTGCTTCAGATCTCTGCCCCCCACCCCCACCTCTCCTCCGCTCACGCTCTCTCAAAAATAAACACAACCCAACTCCTGTGAGCCCATTGGTCCTCGTGTCGTACAGGTCCCAGGGGACCCTCAGGGCACAGGAGCTTGCAAGGCCAGGCAGGCCACCAGCACAGTTCACACGGCACGGTGGGGTGGAGACAGTGCCCTCCACTCAGCCCCTAAATGCGGGACAGAAAAGGGGCCAATCGCAGGTCTCGAGTGTGCTGCCTCCTGTGTCCCAAGGTCCCGCACAGACCCGGGCTTCACCCCTCCCCTCCCCCACGGCCTGCTTCCGAAGGCCAGCACGCGCTCTCTGCCACCTGCAGCCTCCCCGGGGCCCCACACAGGCCCATTCACAGCACAGTTTTATACGGCGCTCAATTCTGAGGGTCTCTCTGGGGCTCCCAGGGAAGGCAGGAGGAGCCAAGCGCCTCTATCGGAGCCCAGGAGGAGGTGCTGGCCGGTGAAAGCCCCAGAGAGATCCCTCCCCTCCCCTCCCCTCCCCATAATTTGTATTTTCGTACTTCAGGTGTGGAAGTGGGCACCCCGTTCCCTGCACCTACTCAATCATGAAGCGTGGCCCCTCCGGAGCACAGCACTCACCCCCACCCGGAAGAGGCTGGGGGGGCACCGAGGCCCTCCGTTGTCCCCATGTGCTTCTGCAGGACGCAGCCTAGCCCTGGCAGGCAGGGCTCCGATCACACAAGAGTGTGCGGGCCACAGGGCGGCCTCGCTGGTGGGCTGGTCACCAGGGGCCGAGCCCTCTCCACTCCCAACGTCCACATGAAGCCTGAGAACACCGTGTGCTCTGTGGACCCCATGGCTGTTTGACAAATGCCACGCTGACGAGCAAAGACGCATAAACCACTCGGTGCAGCCCACAAGCCCCAAAGCCGTGCCCGTCCAGGTGTAAGCTTTATTTCTCTGGGGATCCTGCGTCTGCTTTGCCTGGCCTGTCTCCACCCAGATGGGAGGCTCCGGGTGACTGGCCCTGCGGCCTCCCGTTACAGAACAGCCCCAGAGCCGTGCAGGGGGACCCAGGCTGACCTCAGCACAGTCTGGTAGAGGGTGAAGGGCAACTCCATGGGAGAGCCTCCCCGACACACAAAGGACTGAATTTATGGTGTAAGCGAGGCTTTTCCAGACTCCAGGACGAGCATGTTTTCTGGACAGGCTGCGGGCCCTCCGTGCACCTGCTGGGCCCCCCAGGTCTCGAGTGGAATCCCGGGGGGCGGCTGCCAGGAGCCGTGACTAGCAGCAGGGAGCCAGTCGAGGCCTAAGAGCCACAGGAACCCGCTAAGGACCGCAGCCGGGGAAGGCAAGGGGCTCCTGGCTTAGGGACAGGCTTGGCTGCCACTGTCCTTGGGCCAGGGAGAGGACCCGTCACCGGGAATGGCCTAGGTCCAGCACGGCCTAAGCTCCCAGGGAAGGAAGGGCAGCTGGCCCCTGGCCACGGGCCCCTGGCCCCTCCTGGCCCTGCAATCGATACAGGGCCTCCATCTGCCTCCGCTTCTGCTTGGCCCGGTTGATGGTTGTCTGGAAGAGCCTGCAGAAGAGGTGGACGGCCGGCGGCGAGTCGTCGTTGCCGGGGACGGGGTAGGTGATGAGGCACGGGTTGCAGTTGGTGTCCACGATGCCCACAGTGGGGATGTGCATCTTGGCCGCGTCTCTCACAGCCACGTGGGGCTCAAAGACGTTGTTAAGCGTGTGCAGGAAGATGATGAGGTCTGGCAGGCGGACCTTGGGGCCCAAGAGGAGCGGAGCGTTGGTCAGCAGGCCGCCCTTGAAGTAGCGGGTGTGGGCATACTCGCCGCAGTCCCGGGCCGTGGTCTCAATCAGGTGTGAGAACTGCCGGTTCCGGCCCACAAACAAGATGATGCCCTTGCGATAGGCCACGTGGGCCGTGAAATTCAACGCCAGCTGCAGGTGCGCGGCCGTCTGTTCCAGGTCAATGATGTCCTGGTCCAGGCGGCTCCCGAAAATGTACGGCTCCATAAATCTGTCAGAGACCCCACAGAGGCAAGAGTGAGCTAAGCTCATGTGGCCCAATCGGCGCCTTCTTGAGTGAATTGTTGTCAGCACCCGCTAGGGCCCTCTGTGGAGGGCCCTGTGAGCCGTGAGGCCCGTGCCCCCTGGGCCACCCATCCCCAGGAAGGGTGCAGTCTGCCACCCTGCAACCATGGCCCCAGTGGGGGCCCCGGTCTGGCGAGTGATGGCCAGGAGCCAGCGGGGGGTAGGGGTGAGGTGGGGTTCAGAGGGGACCAGGACAGGCCTGGGCTAAGCAGACCTCAAGCACGTCTCCCTGCACCCACACGCCATCATGTGGGGATGCCACCGGAAGGGACCCCGCATGGCACCCTGTGCCCCTGCCGAGGGCCATGAGCCCCAAAGTACACAGTTCAGTGTGGGGACCAACGCTGAGTCTAAGGATAAACCTCTGCCCCTCCCTGGGGCCCAGTGGCCTCAACTGGAAGAGGATGATACACACCACTACAAAAGGCCTCGGGCCCCCTCCTACGCTGTTGGTGGGAATGTAAACGGGTGCAGCCCCTCTGGAAAACAGTGTGGAGCTTCCTCAAAAAATGAACAATAGAACTCCTCTATGACCCAGCAATGGCACTGCTAGGAATTTACCCAAGGGACACAGGAGTGCTGATGCATGGGGCACACGTACCCCAGTGTTCACAGCAGCACTCGCAACAATAGCCAACACACGGAAAGAGCCTAAGTGTCCATCAACGGATCAGGAAGATGTGGTTTATCTACACAATGGAATACTCCATGGCAGGGAGAAAGAATGAAACCTGGCCTGTGTAGCAACACGGGTGGACCTTGAGGGTGTTATGCTGAGCGAGATAAGTCAGGCAGAGAAGGACAGATACCTTATGTTTGCACGTATAGGAGGA